TCGGCGATTCCGGATTATCGATTTTTTCGGATTATAGATCATCAGTTTAAATCTCGTAAGATGGCATGCAGAAAGAATTCTAAAATTAAAAAATATGAAACCGTAATTTATGAAATAAAGAACAATTATGATCTAAAGGGTAACAAAATTTACAAAAAAAAAAAAAGCTTAATATTTATTTGTTTACTTTATTAAACATTTCTATCAATGTAAGTTGTTTAAGTTGTTTCGTTTTATGTGATAATACTTTCTCTTTAATTCTATAAACAGACATAATTTCTTGTCCAGTTACAAAGTTCTGCTTTTCAAGTCCTATAATTGCAGTGTCGAGAATATCGACTAATTTGTCAATCGAAATTGTTTCGTTTTCGGTAACGTCTGTGTCACTTTCTTCACTATCGGAAGCAATATTTTCTAGATCTAGAACCATACTACATATTTCGCTGTCCGTTAATTGATTGATGATTGGTGCATTGTCGTCGCAGTGAAAAACTTCTCTTATATCATCTTCATTTATTACCGCTTCTCCACATTTCTTTACAAAATCCATTAATAACGGAAAATTTCACACTTTAGTTTGCGTGATGTCCGAAAACCTTCAAATTCGCCGCTATCCTCTCATGAAATATGGTAGATGGCCATAAATTATGCCAAGCATTTTTTAACAGTATCTGGAGGACACATCCGCCCACGAGCTTGCGATGCTCCACACGGCAGATTTTATGCCAAAAAAATTTCAAAATATTCTTGAATAGTCTTGCCACTGTATCCAAGAATATTTAACATGGATTTTAAAAATGCTGCTTTATATTTGCATTTCAGGTGCGCGCACTATTCCCATATCCATAAGGCTGAAATGATGGGACATACAATTTGGAGGGAAAAGAATAACATGGATACAATTATCTTTCATTAAAACTTTAAGTGAAAGTATGCTAGCCGAACAGCTTATCAACAATCAAGACAATTTTTGCAGTCATCAGGTTTAAACCAAACTGGAATTCAAATTGTCGCCAAGCCTCGGGTATGAAATGATTTTCAAACCAATCATTCATTCAACACTTGTGTCATACGTTGCTCTTTTATTTGCGTGATATATAACAGGGAAAATCATTACTCCTTTTTAAACGGTCAGAGGTTCGTGTATTGTTTTCCGATTATGCAAAAAGTTTGCACTTGTGCGTTCCTGCTAGCATTTGCACACGCTAAAATTGTAAGTCTAGCTTAATGGAAATCTTTGACACCAGTTGGAGCCTTTTCTGTAGAGGTTGCCAAGGTATTTCGGGGTACATATTGCCAGAAAAGACCAGTATCATCAGCATTGTAAATTTATTCTGCACATAATTGTTCACTAGTAATGAATTCGATGAATTCATCTGCAAATTGTTCAGTAGCTTCAGTATCAGCTGAAGATTTTTCACCAGAAATTTTTAATTGTCTTATACCATGGTGATTTTAAAATTTTGTTAACCAACCTGTCGAATATGTGCACTCTGTTTAAGTTCATTTCTTCATGAATATTTTGGCTTGAGCCATTACCATTGGACCCGTCAATGGCACGCCCTCGCTGCGACGCTGTCTGACCCATTCAATCATCACTCTGTCATGATCATCACTTTTAGCATAACGAACCCTTTTTCTGTTACTCTTGCAAGTGGGGGGGTGTCGGAATCCACAAAAAAATCAAAAGAAAAAGTTCCTTTTTCTTTTTGCTTATGTCATATACAGTTGACTTTTCCAATGTTATATTCCTTGCATAACTTTTGAGACAGGTATGCCTTTGTCCAATTTTTGCAGCAATTCCACTTTTTGTTTGATGGACATTGAAACATACTTTTCGTTTTGTAGATCCTTTGGAAATTCCAGCATCAGAAATTCTATTTGACATAATCGAAAGTTCAAGTTTACTTTTATAAAATTGCTCTAACAGTCTGCAAAAAGTAATAAGCGGGATCCAATTCGAAAATTAAGAAAGAACGCAATTATTAACATTAACTGAAATAAATAATTAGATCATTTTAGCTTACACCGTCCGTTATACATTAAACGCGAAGGCGAAAACGTATTCTGCACCTGCGCGCACGCATATGCGCAGTCATCCAGGTCTTACGCGACACGTAAAATGTCTGTGCGCATGTGCCAACGCGGCGCATGCACAGAAAGTTTTTAGCTTTGAGGTCCAGATTATAGATCATTCCGGATTATGGGTGTCCGAATTAACGACTCTTGACTGTAATAAAAAAGGATGACCAAAGTTTGCTGAAAATTTCATGCTAAAGCTTGTTTAGCTGTTAATTTTGCTATGTATTTCATAAAACCCACAATTATCATATATGAAGGCCATGAAATAAGTTAGTTTTCATTTTAAAAGCTCTGATGGAAGTCAAAATAGAAGTACCCTAATATATATAAATACATATTTACATATATATATGGTATACCAGCAGAATGAATTGGTATTCTATTTCTCGTCAGAAGTCTGTCAGTTTTTTCTCTTTTTTTGTAATAAAATATGAAGTTGAATATTCGGAAGTGTATGCGAGTTATGTTTTACAGTTCTTTTAAATTAAAATTATATCAGTTATATCAAATACTTAAACCTTGATAATCATCATAATTGTACATATTTAGCTCAAGCTGTGGAGAAGGGTTCATCCACTGATGAGTTAATTAAAAGTTTTCCTCCTGGCTGTGATAAAACTATGATAAGGCGGTGAAACAGTTGCAGTTATGCTATGGCAAAACTTCACAGTCATCATGTATGAAGCCATGAAATAAGTTAGTTTTCATTTTAAAAGCTCTGATGAAAGTCAAAAATAGAGGTACTCTAAAATATGTAAATACAAATAGGGTACACCATCAGAATGAATTGGTATTTTATTTCTCGTCAGAAGTCTGTCAGAGTTTTTTCTCGTTTTCGTAATAAAATATGAAGTAGAATATTCGGAAGTGTATGCGAGGTATGTTTTACAATTCTTTTGAATTAAAATTAATTATATTGGTTATAGCAAAGCATAGGAAGGCATTCAATTTTTAAAAGTACATGCACTTTGAACTTTTGCTCTTTTTGTTATGAGCATGTTCTGAATATTGGACCAAGGACATCTATGATTTGAGCATTTTAATCATAAATGCAATGTTATGGGTCCAAAATCTAATAATGGAGGAGATATGATGCACAAGTTTCTTGCTAAGTTTAAGAAAGACACTGCATGTGGCAGTTTGTCACATTCAGTGCTTCTAAGCATCGTAAGAAAATTTGTGCCCATGAAGGAGTACTGAAGTAGTCTTAAGGATAGTTGCAAATGAAATGCATATATGTGAAAAATGAATATACACTCTTTTGCAAAAATATCGAAGCACCATGAAGGAAGTGGGTGTTTTTGATGAAATAGAATATGTGTATAGCTTATACACAGACAATAAAATAATTAAAAAATCAAGGTCATAGTACCTGTTCATGACTCACAATCATCCATTGAGTGTTCAAATTAGTAGTTGGTCGAACCCCCCCCCTGGCGGCAATGCATGCTTGAATTCGTCGAGGCAAGGAGTGCTAGAGGTTCCTTATGTCATCCTGCGACACATTCTGCCAGGCATTCATCAGTTGTCGCTCCAGATCTACGAATATTATGTGCTCGAATCTGGCAGCCTACTATATCCCAGACTTGCTCGATTGGTGAAAGGTCTGGTGGCCTTTACTGGCCAAGGAAGAGTATCAACCACACAGAGACAGTCCAGAGCTATGCGAGCAGTATGTGGCCTGGCATTATCTTGTTGGAAAATGGCCCCAGGATGACGTGCCATGAAGGGTAATGCAACCGGCCACAGGATGGTAACAACATATCATTCAGCTTGTTAAAGTTGTACGGATAATGACAAAAAATGACCTGCTGTCATAAGATATAGTGCCCCATGCCATCACATCAGGGGTTATGGCTGCATTCCTTTGTAAAACAAAGGCTAATTGTGACTGCTGACCCCGTCCTCTCCAGACACGAACACGGTGGTCATCTGCTTTAAGAGTGAAGCAGGATTCATCGCTGAACACTATATGATGCCAGTCTGATGATCGGCCATGATGATCGGCTGCGACACCACTCCAGACAACTCCGACAATGTTTGCTCAAAGACAAACGTCTTAAAGGCCTCTGTGAGTGTAACCCCGCCTCGGACAAGCACTGTGAAATGGTGGACGGTACCACGGGAGGTATAGATATGGCTGTAGTCCGTTGAATAGTCAACAATGATAGCATTGGGACAGTTTGGGCCTGTTGAACAGTCATCCTATCTTACCTAACATTTGTACTCCTTGGCCTTCCAGAGCCTTCATTTCATCGGCTATTTCCTTGTCGCAACAATTGCTGCCAACATCTTTGCACAGCAGTGTCTGTACGCTGCACGTGGTGGCCTGTTGCTCGGTATGACCACCGAGCTTCATGCAACCATAGTGCGACCATGTTCGAAGTCGTTTAGTTGTCTATAAGGTCTTCTATCGTCGTAATGGCATCTTTAATTTGAAACTTTGATCATTTGCATGTTCAATCAAGATGTTTTTGCATACCAAATTTTGTTATGATCGCAAAAGTCCTTCTTGGTGCTTCGATTTTTTTGCAACAGAGTGTATGTGAATATATGTAGAGAAAAATGCATATAAATGAAGTCTACCTGAAAATAAGATGATTTGTTTCATGGCTTATCAATTTCGCTTGATATAGCCAATTCCAGTTTACTATCATTTAATATGAAAAAATAAATTATTAATATGTATTTTATGTATGGAGGAATTTAAGTTTTTGCATTGAGAGATTTATGCTGATGCTTATAGGCATATTTTCAGAAAACTCTTATGGCCTTTTAATTAAGATTTAACAACCCAAGTTTTATTTCAATGTGTAGAATTTAATATTTGTCTATAATGATCATTAAAATGATTGTCACTCATCAAAGATCTTATATTGTATGAAATATTTTTGTAAATTGCTGATTATATTTTTTAGATGGGTTTGTGAAGATTTCCCTGAAATTAAACTTGCAATGGAAAACTATGTGCTTCATGACTATGACACAAAAAGGTAAGGTTACTGCTGTGCATTTAATCAGTAAATGTGTAATGTCAGATTATCTGTCTGTTAAAATGAATGATTCTCTTCTTTTATCAGGACCAGATTCAGAAATGTATGTATATATGCATGCATGTATGGAATGTGTTCATGTATGCATATGTATATGCATACACACACATATATGCATATATATGCACTGAATCTGATCCCTATAACTGAAGGGTACCAAATGAATTTCAAAATTGAATATTTAACATATTCTTATACATAGATAAATAATAGTGTTACATGCTATGGATTCTTAGAAATCTCCAGTAAGTATGCTAAATAAACAGGGAGACTTGAAAATTAATTGAGATAAAGAATGGTGTGATAAACAACTATAAGTATCCAAAGAAGAATGCAAGAAGTACAAAAAAAAAAAATGTTCTTTAACATGCAAGAGAATTTCACTGATTGCCAGAATCACTTGTAAAGTCTAAATTAGTGATCACTAGGCAGAAGCTTGATGATGCATGCAGTCTTGCAATTCTGGATGAGTTAACTGTAATGACTGACTGCAGGTGGGGATGCAGCTTCATATTTGTAGCTTTTTTTAACTCACTGATCAGCTTGAGATTTTGGAGACTCAGTGGAACAGTGCTTTGATACACCAGGGTACCTGGGCGGAAGGCCCTACCCCTTGTAGAATAATTTTGAAGCTTCGAATGATGTCAAAAAAATAGCCAATCCATTTCTAGAACAAAGATGATGCAAAACATAAATCATATTAACTTGGCATAAATAGTTACGTAAAAATTTTGGTGACTGGAAAGCTGAAATAAATACAATTAGCATTTAAAATAGTTAATGTGCTAATAGCAGCTAGTTAGGCATAAGCCGTTGAACTGGTGAGTAAATCCTCTCCGTAGTGGCGAAAAATCCTGTCTAGAAACAGTAGCTGCTCATTCATCGGAGCCAGTCATGTGGGAGGTCACCCTCCCAGAAACTGACCTCGCTCGATGCTGCTTGAAAACTGGGTTAACTGGTGAGTAGGATATGTGAGAATAAATTTAAAATGAAGTAAAAATGTTGAATTACTGCATTTTGTGGAGATGCTAAGTCTGTAGTATCCTTCATCGGCTATCTTCATCAGATACGTAGAGGCTTTAAAACCAGAGGATCATTAATATGCAACAGTTTTCGCTTTTCTGATATTTTCGATGATCTCGATAATTTTGCTGAAGAATTCTCGAATCTTATCATCACACAGCCAGTTAAGGGCTTCTCCTGCCTCTGCTGGGATTTGATTTAGCTTCTTTAACTTTTCGCTGTACTGACCCTTTTGAGATGGGGAGTTACTTCCTTCAGTGGTTTTTACGAGTTGCAAAAAATCTTCTTTCGTAGCTGCAAATTCCTTTGGTTTACGTGGGGCTGGTTTTTTCTCAAATTTTTTCTTGTATTCTTCACATCCGCAATAACTGCAAACGTGATTTTTTCTGCAGAAAAGACAGGTGGGTGTTTCATCTTGCTTCTTAGGGCAGGTATTGCTGCGATGTTTATCTCCACATTTGCAACATCTCACTTCGTTTGTGCATAAATGTTGGGAGTGCCCCCACTCCTGACATCTAAAACACTGGATCAAGCCTTTTCTGGGGCTATACTTCTCAATCAGGACGTTCACGCTAAACATGTAGTTTAGCTGATGTATTGCATGGCCTGATTCATTCTTCTTAAGTTCAATGAGCCAAATTGGTAGGTTTTCAGAATTGTGTTTTTTGCTCCTGCAGAATTGCTTGACTGTATACGACTGAGAATTTTCTTCTTACTAAATTCTCATAAACCGCTTCTTCAGTGATTTTATCAGGGAGATTTTTCAGAATGACTATTTATCCGTCAAGTAAGTGTGAAAAGGAATTTCCATTCGCCTTCAAAAATTTCGGGGCATTTTTGTAATCATGCCGCGTTTTCGTGTTCACATAGATCAATTTCAACTTTGTTAGCTTCAATTTCATCTTTAACATATTTCTCTGAGATCTCATTCCACAATTAGCCAGTCTTATCATTTCTTGCTTGAAAACAATAGGGGGTGGAATTTCATCAAAGCAGTCACCTTCCCGTTCGCTCTGGATTTCATCTAATTTCTCGAATCTGTTCTCGCAAGTAACTTCCATCAGAGCTGGCTCTAGTAGTTTCTTCGCTGTCTTAGAAGAAATTCATGGGTTATCCTTCGGCTTGCTTTTGATTAATTTCGCCTAAATTAGCAGGTTCTGCGGGGGAGGGGGGTAATCGGTCGATTTCCTCTCATGCTTTCCCAGACAGATTTCAAACCATTTCGTTGAAACATTCTCATTACACTGTTCATCATTGCTTGTTCAGTCATATCACGTTTCGCACCATTCTGAGTAACATCAGCTTCAGACAAGGTTTTCACCTTCTTTTTCTTACTTTTTTTTTTTCTTGGGCGATTTTACAAAGTGGCCATTGACTGTAATGACTGACTGCAGGTGGGGATGCAGCTTCATATTTGTAGCTTTGTTTAACTGACAGATCAGCTTGGGATTTTGGATCTGTCATGAAGGCCTGTATTTAAATATTTTTATAATTACGTATTTTACTCTTTATTTTCATTTATTAAGATGGCATTTACATTATTAAAGAAAGTAGGAAAGCAAAATATCTTAAATTCTGTGCCAAGTGATCAAAATCTCATAATCGGGCCATGCCGGTAAGAGGCTTAAAGAGAAAGGTAAGCACATTTGGAACCTTTCAGAAGAACTGCTTCTTTTCTGAAAACTTCCAGTACATAGCTTAGTGGGCTGACTGTATAATTAAAATGTCAATGCATTCAAAACTGAAAGGTCTATAATATAATACATGAAATGAATGTACAAACACAATAAGTAACCACAAATTTAAGATTAAACCTATGTTCATATGGTCCTTACTTGTCCTTATGTTTCTGGGTCTTAAATGTCCGTAATTTTTGCTAAAATTTAAGTAAGGCCCATAATTTTGCTTATGCGATCTTTGTCCTTTCTCTAGGACTGCCATTCTCAGTGTAACTTTATGAATGAATACAGAATTGAAACTGCACAGCTCCTAATGGAGCCTTGTGTTCTGAACAGTGAAAAACAACTAGCCATCCTAGAATGGCAATTCCAGGATGCCCGATTGGTCGTTCACCCAAACTTTCAAACAAGCATTATTGTAGAAAACTGAGTGTTAAATTTATGCACACGTGTTGTTGTCAGTATAACTTCACATGTAACATTTGTAACTTTGTAATTCTCAGTCTGGCAACTGAAAAGAGTATACTAATATTTTAAATTTAATGAGAATTGTCTTCATGTTCATAGTTAGATGTTTTAAAATATAAACATTTAATTATTAATGTTACAAAGAATGCAGAGAGTATTGTGTTAATATTTTGTACATTATTTGAGTTTTTGAGTATTAGGAATATCGATTTACGGCTGAGTTTTGAAATTGGTATCAGACATCTGGTATCCATGGGCAGGATATCTACTGTGATTTGAATGAATGATAATTATTGAGCTAATTATATTTTTGTTATGGAAAAATTAAAACTTTATCGTAAACAGTGTAGAAGACTATTTATGGCTGCTTACAATGACTTTCACAGAAGTGAAATTGAGTTAACTGTCGAAAGTAAAATTTTGAAATGAAAAGTTACTGAAGAGAAAGCAAAATGAATGGTGGTCTGCAAATATGAATTTAGAGATACTTTATTTATGTCCCAAGTGAAGGGGGAAGATATTGAAGAAGCAATCGATGATGTATCAGAGTATATTGACAAGTGGAGTATTTTAGAGAACAAATTAAAGGATCTCATTAATGAAAAAAGTCAACATTCTGCTGCATCTACCATTCCTGTAGTTGTAAGTACTGCTCCTAATAATTTATTACATTACCCTAAAACTAATTTACCCACTTTTGATGTTGCATCAAGAATTGGCAGTACTTTGGGAACAATTTCAGAAAATTGATAAAGACTTAAACCTTGATAATCATAATTGTACATATTTAGCTCAAGCTGTGGAGAAGGGTTCATCCACTGATGAGTTAATTAAAAGTTTTCCTCCTGGCTGTGATAAAACTATGATAAGGTGGTGAAACAGCTGCAGTTATGCTATGGCAAAACTTCACAGTCATCATGTATGAAGCCATGAAATAAGTTAGTTTTCATTTTAAAAGCTCTGATGAAAGTCAAAAATAGAGTCTAAAATATGTAAATACAAATAGGGTACACCATCAGAATTAATTGGTATTTTATTTCTCGTCAGAAGTCTGTCGGAGTTTTTCCTCGTTTTTGTAATAAAATATGAAGTAGAATATTCGGAAGTGTATGCGAGGTATGTTTTACAATTCTTTTGAATTAAAATTAATTATATTGGTTATAGCAAAGCATAGGAAGGCATTCCATGCACTTTGAACTTTTGCTCTTTTTGTTATGAGCATGTTCTTAATATTGAAGCAAGAACATCTATGATTTGAACATTTTAATCATAAGTGCAATTTTATAGGTCCAAAATTTGAAAACTGCCGAAATATGAGGCACAAGTTTCTAGCTAGGTTTAACAAAGACACTGCATGTGGCAGTTTGTCACGTTCAGTGCTTCTAAGCATCATAAAAAAAAAAAAAATTGTGTCCATGAAGGATAGTTGCAAATTAAATGTATATGTGTGATAGTTACCCATTGAAGTTTACGTTCAAGATCTGTTATCAATTGTGCTGTTGAAACATAAAATGCCTACTAATGGTCTAGATCACCTTCTTGGCTTTTTTCAAGATGAAGTGGAAGGGGGGAGAGAATTTTGATCGCCACTCGAAAAGTTTTGACCTGTGTAAAAAGACAAGCTATTTTAATAACCGTCGAGAGACTAAATTTAACCCAGAATATCATCAGCAACAGAAGTTTTGACATAATCTAAATGATAAGAAACTCTGCATATTTTTTCTGATTAGCATTAATTGGGAAACTAAAAATAGCTCCTAAATTAACATT